AATTGGATGCCGCTCCTGAGTAGTCTCCTCCTTTTAGGATTTGTGCCTTGGAAACTCCATGGCTATGAATCAGAACTGACTCAATGGCAATGAGTGTTTTATAAGTTTTATAAAGAGACCTGTTAGCATATTGAATAAGTGCTTGACTGCCAACCAAAAGATCAACAGTTTCAAATCCAACCGCTGTCCTTCTGAATTAAGTCGTGGCAATCTGCTTCTGTAAATACTATGGCCTTGAAAATCCTTCGTGGCATTTCTACATTTAAAGGATTGCTATAAATCAAAATGGACTCAACAGCAACGGGTTGGGTTTGGAATGCAAGTTTGTAGGCTGTTTTTAAGCATTGCTTAACTAAGGTGGGTGGGCCCAAGGCACCAAGAGCACAGGCTGGGTTCTGTCTGTAGGTCTACTCCTTCACTGCAATGGGATCTTGGGCAGGCTCCCAAGTGCTGTTATGAGATGGTGTGCCTGACTCATAGGAAGGCCTTGGGATTTGAAAAGATTTCTTTCTTCTTCTCTCCTTTCTTTTTTCTTTTCTTCTCTCCTTTCTCCAGTTCTCCTGGACTTCGTACTACACCAGCAAAGCTGGAAGCAAGGGCACGCTTTCGTTTGTTTATTTGTTCCAGTAATCTATATTTGCCTTTCATTTTAATCTATATTTGCCTTTCATTTTTTTAGTACTATAAAAATATAGATAGCACTTTTTGTTGTTGTTGTTATGTACCATCTAGTTGGAATGGACCTATCATAGCTGACCCTTCAGACTGATTTTCTGAGACAGTAAATATCGCAGGAGGAGATTGCCCATCATCCTGTGGAGCAGCTGGTGGATTTGAACCACGGGCCTTTGAGACTGCAGCACAGCTCCTTACCACTAGGCCACCAGAGTTTCCTATGGATAGCGTTACATTTGCCAATTCACTATTTTTAATATATGCCATTCAGTGAGATCAGTCACATCCATCATGTTGTTCTACTATCACCAATATCTTTAGCCAAATTTTTTATCCCCATAAACAAAACCTTAATGCTTCCCAAACAATAAATCTCCTGTTCTCCCACCCTCCCTCTCAGCCTTAGTAACTGTTTGCCCATTCTCCCTTCACCTATTCTAGGGCACTTCATATTCATGAGTTATTGTCCTTTGTGATTGACTTATTTCACATATTATTTTCAAGGTTCATCAATGTTGTACCACTTCATTTTTCTATGGCAGAATAATATTCCATTGAATATATACCATATTTTGCTTATACATTCATCTGGTTTTATTACATTTTTGGACTACATTTTTTCTCTTTTTGTATTTATTTGGGTACAAAATTCACATACTTTATGATTATTCATGTACATTGCATTTCACACATTCTTACATTCACATTGTGGTTCATATGATCACTCATGTACATTGTGTTTTATAAAATTAATCACCATTGAGCTATGCCCATTATTACCTTGTCTTTCCAGGTCCCCATAGATCCTTCCTAATTCCTTCACCTGCTCCCCCTGCTCACCAAACTCTGTTATCTAGTGATTTCCTTCCCTCAACACCCTCTGCTCTCCTGCCTTCATCCTCTTCCCCTTTTTGACTTTTTTTAAAAAAATATTTTTTTTAAATTTTATACTGGTTTACTTACAAAGTTTGTATACATTATTTTTTGCACCGGATAATTCCCATTTCATGTAACCACAGGCCCCACCGTCCATCCTCACCTCTCAGCTCCCCCCTCCCCTCCTTTTGGACTTTCATACATATCTTACTAGTTATCCTTCTATTTTTACAATGATGATCTTATGCAGTATTTGTCCTTATAAAACTGAGTTAGTTGACTCAGCATAATACTCTCTAGATTTTCCCATGTTGTATAATATTTTACAAAATCATTACTCCTGAGTGCTGCATAGTATTCCATTGTGTGAATGTATCATAGTTTCTCAATCTGTTTATGCTTTGATGGACATTTGGGCTATTTCCATTTTTTTGCTATTGTGAATAATGCTGCTATGCACATAGGTGTACATATCCATTCATTTATTGATGAGTTACTTTCACCTCACCTTCTATCTGCCTTCTTTTTTGTTCCTAGCCCTCAGCCTCATTAGATTCCATTCCTGTTGCCAGGCAATTAGGCTGAGTAGTTCCCTTCAGTTTTCCTGTCTAAAAAAGAGAACAAAAAGATAGCGACGCTTCAAGATCTTTTTCCTAGAAACATTGTGGTTGAGAGGGCTGAGAATGGAGCCTCTGGAGGGCCCTGGGCCTACCTCCCTCCTGCCTCTGATGGGTGGACAGGCCACCAGCATAGGGTGGTATGAGGCTTTGATTCACATCTCTACAGGTACGGTCTCAGCTCAGCTAACAATGTGAGCTCATCTAGGTGCTCATGGCCCTGAGGTTTAACAGGAAGCTCCCTGAACTTGCCTAGACCGTGAGTGGGAAGACAGAGCAGCCCCTTGGCTCCTGGGCAAAATGCCCAATTGTTTGCAAAAGAAAGAAAAAGCGGAAATGAGAGGTTGCTCTGAGTTAGAAACCTTTGGCCTCCCAGTAGGTTTGGAAAATTATTGACATTCTAGGGCCCGAGCATTTGTGGTAACAGGTGGAACCTCAAGACTCACAAAATGGAAAGGAGGGTTTAGAAGCCAATCTCACGTCCTGGAATATATAGATATGCCCTGTGGTAATGATAGTATCTCATTTCTGGGTAGCTCTTACAGTTCTCATGGTACTTCTGTAGTCTTCTGTTGCTTCAGAAAGCTGCCTCAGGGGCATATACACTCACGGAAGAAAGATTTCTTGTTTCCATAAAGATTGGACAAAAGCTTGGCATACTACAGGGGAAAACTGGGCCCTGGGTGGGCTAGGCATGGCTGTAATGGCATTATTCTACCTTCTCTAAAACTTTGGGTCTTGTTGGGTAATGAAGGTCACAGCAAGAGAGTGCCAGAGGCTAGAGTTGAAAACTAACAGCTGTCAATTTCTGAACCCCTGGGCCATCCTTCCCCCAGGGCTGTGTATTTTGGAATCAGCCATTTGTGGTCTCTCCTTCATGTGACCCCTGACTTTCTGGGGATGAAACCAGAATGTGTTCAATCCAGAAATTTAGAGATTGACCTTCAGACCTCTTGATGTGGGAGCCTTAACTTCTGGCTGATAAATTTCCAAACATCAGGATTCACGTCAGTAAACGAAGGAGATTGCTCCATGGTCTCTTGGGTCCCTGTGACTGCCTGTAAATGTCAGTACATTTTCTGCTTTATCCTCCCCTCTTCTCTGGGCCCAGCTGGTTTAAGGTCCATCTGCGCTTTTCCTGAAACTTGTATTTGAGCTCACTAGTGCCTCAAACTCCACATGTGTGCTAGTGACTGAGAAGTGACTCATTTTTTACCAAGAACCATAACCAGTATCTGACATCTGGAAACAGTGATGTCACTAGCTCATCCTTAAAGGAGAGAAAGGGTTGGGCTGAGCCTTTTTTACAAAGGCTCTTGGCCAGCTCCACACTCAGCATCTCCGCAGAAAGTGATTCTGTTGCCATCTTCCGAAGCTCAAATTCTGTCACCTGAGGGAATGCACAAAGTGTAGCCAACACCGGCTGGAGGAGTCCCTGAGCCGTGCATTGGTTAACAAATGCTCATGCTAACTGGTTGGCAGTTTAAATCCACCCAAAGGCACTTCAGAAGAGAGGCCTGGAGATGTCCTTCTGAAATACCAGCTGCTGAAAATCCTACAGAGCACAGTTCTGCTTTGATACACGTGGAATCAACCTGAGTTGAGATCTGCTCCTTGGCAAAGGGTTTAGCACTGCCAGACTGAGAGAAATAACAAGTAAACATTAGGGTATGTGTGATGAGAAGCTTCTGGAGAAGGTGTGCCAGAAACATCATGTGATGTGGTTCAAGTTGGAGGAGAGATTCTGAATTGGAGACTAACCTGGAGCTCCGAGAGGCTGGGCATCAGCGAGGTGGGTGAGATGACGCCCACTAAACTGAGTGGCCGCGCTGAGCCTTCTGGGAATCTCAAACCTATTTGAAAATCTTCCTCTCCCAGAAAATGAGCCTTTGAGCTTGCACATACAGTGGCACAGATGTGCCTGTGTACAGTCTGACCTGGGCAATGAGAGCTGCTGGCTTCCTAGCTAGAGTCCTCTGCTGTTTTTCTGTGTCTGCCTTTCTCAAAGCCAAGGACAGACCCCAGGGATTCCCACCCACTCATTTGACCCCTTCCCTTTCTGAGCAGGCTGTCTGGAGGTGTCTAGAGCTTCCGTCTGGACCTTTTCTTCTTTCTCTATGTATCTGTGTGCACGTCTGTCCCTGGGACAGCAGATGTTCCAGCTATGGCTCTCTGGACTTTATGGCACTTGGAGTTGAGAATGGAGTCTTTGCTTCTCATAATGGCTAAAGAAAAGCAGCGAAGGTTACTGTGCAGATTGCAATATTTAACTGTGAAACTGTACTGGTGTATTTCTTGTGTGGTTGAAAAAAAAGAAGAAGGAAAGTAGAGCACTGCAAAAGTGAGTAAAATCAGAGGTGGGGAGGAGGAAGGGAGAAAGGGAAGCTACTGTTTAGATGACCCTGAACGTCCACGAGGTTGATGGTAATATTTGGGAATGTATAAGGGTGGTGGTTGAACAGCATGATGAGCATAATTAATGCCACTGAATTTTACCCATGAAGAATATTACAATGTTAGATGTTTTGTTACATATCTGTTTACACAGTTAAAAGGAACTAATGGTAAGCTTTAATGGGAGCAGAGTAGGCTGTGCTGGAAAGGAGGAAGGGGCAGCTGGCACACGCAGCCTAGAGTGAGTGTGTATGGGGGGAGGCTGGGATAGGCCCCCAGTCTTCTGTGGGAGAAACGAACATCCACAGGCTCCTCAGCCAGAACCAGCCCATGGGTAGGTCCCCAGGGTCACAGCCAAATCAAATTATTTCTCCCCCATCAAAGGCTAAGGCCTAGGGAGGCTGGTGACCAGAGGAGTGACCTGTGCTCTCTTGGCAGGCGAAGCATGAAGCGGAAGGCGCTGTTCACCTGTCCCTTCAACGGAGACTGCCGCATCACCAAGGACAACCGGCGCCACTGCCAGGCCTGCCGCCTCAAGCGCTGTGTGGACATTGGCATGATGAAGGAGTGTGAGTGCCGTGGCCTCTGGGCTGTAGGCCGGGCTGGACTGGGTTTGGGGAAGGCTCTGACTGCCGTTCATTCTGGCCTTGCCAGAGAGGTCAGCCTGCCCCCCCTCTGTCTCTGCTGGCATCCAGGCCACTGATGGGGTGTGAGTAGGACAGGCAGCCCTGGGGCAGGAAGCCAGGACTCCAGGGCCAAATGCACCAGTGTTCCTTCTAGCTTCTCTAAAACTGGTTTGTCATAGAGTTGATTCTGACCCCTGTGTGTCAGCAGAGAAGTGTTGGTTTTGTTGTCAGTTGTCAACAAGTCAGGGCCCCAACTCATGGCACCCCAAGTTGTGCAGAACAGCTCCATTGGTCTTTATTGACACTGATGGGAGAAGCTTGCCAGGCCTTTCTTCCTAAGGGCTACTGGATGGGTTTGAACCACCAACCTTTAGGTTAAAGCTTAACTGCAAACCACTTGCATCACCTTGGCTCCTTTGCACTGCTTCGTGGAGTTTTTAATAACCAAGTTTTTGGAAGTAGATCATTAGGACTTTCTTTCAGATCATCTCTGAGTGGGTTTGAACCCCCAGCCTTTTGGCTAGCAACCAAGCATGCTAATTGTTTGTACCACCCAGGGCTTCCCCAGCTTCTTTGGGATCTGTTTATCTCAGAGGCCGGAAGGACCCTCTAAAGTCATACCTGCAGTAAGAGTGGGCAGGGCATCCCCTTCCTGAGCCCATCCCGGCTGAGGCTCCTCTCCTCTAGGACCTCATGACAATTCTCATACCTTCCTGTTGCCTGCACTTGAGGGGAAGGATGTGCTCCTGCACCTCAGTGGTCCCTGGGTCTTGGCTTTGGGGAGAGGGCTGCTATAAGAGGGGCAGGAATGTTGGGGAGAAGAAATATCCAGAGACTAGTTGGCTCTCACTGTCCTACCCTGTCCCAATCTTCTAGCCATTCTGTCTCCTGAGTGAATCAGAAGGCTGGTGTCCAGGTGGGAAGATACTCCTGCAAAGCACTGGTGGTCTAGAATGGCCCCTTGAATGCGGGTGGAGAAAGAGCAGTGACCTATACAATTTCCTGTTTAGCTCTGGACTTACAGGAGAAGACCCCCAGGGCAGATTTACAGGGATGCTGTGACCCACTATGAAAAATCACCCCTGGACTTCCCATCTCTCCCATCTCCAGGACCGGTTACTTGGTAACCGGAGCGGCTGTTGAATTCAGCTGATGCTGGGAGGGACAAACCAAGCCCTTTCTGGCCTAGGGGTGAGGGCATCGGGCCAGCCTGGGCTCAGATGCCCTCTGCACTGGCAGCCCACGCTCTCCTTGCTCCGTCTGCTACCTGCACACCAGTCCCCGCCCCTGCCCAAGGACAGAGCCTGTGCCCTGCGAAGCTGCAGACAGACCTGAGGGATTCAGGGGAGGAGTGTTCAGATGTAGCCACCCCTGGAGATCCTCCTGGCTATGTGACTGCTTTTAGAAGTGTGGTAGTGAAAAGTAATAGGGACAGGGTTTGACATTTACTTTCCTAATGGGAATAAAAGTTCTCTGGTGTTGGAAAGAGGAGACAGAGTTGACATCCTTACCTCGGAGCTCCACTTTCAGTGCTCAGAGCACCTTCCCAGCCTTGTCTGACACCCCCCTCGTACATCACAGCCCCATTCCAGATTCTAGTTCCCCAGTCAACACAGACAGCCCTGAAAGGAGTTTCCAGGCCTTCGTTTCTCTTCACCCCCATGGCAGCAAGCAGGCCTGGGCGCGCCCATTGTCTCACCCCTCCCGACTCCTGTGTTTATCCTGGAGGAAGTGGAGGCTGAGGCCTGGGAGCCTAATGGGACATCCCACACATTGACTTAGTGGAAGACTCGGGGGAGGACACAAATAGGGTACAGAGCAGCACAGACCCTCAGAGCCACCCTGGACAGGGAACAAGAGGAGCAGAGCTCCATTGACAGGACTCAAGCAGTTCTGGTCAAGGCCACACTCACCCCTGTCCCTTCTCCTGTGTCCCATTTCATCCCGAGCTGGGAAAACAAGAGGATAATGTTCTGTTAACTTGGAATACAAAGAGATGAGACCCAGAAAAGTAAAAATAGCACGATTGGAGTCAGAAAGCCAGCTGGTGGCTGACCTGGGTCTAGAATCCAGCTGATGTTTCCTCCAGGTTCCTTTTGATCTTCCAGAAAGTACTGCAGCCATCACCGAGCATCACCAGGCCTTGAGTGCCTCAGAGTGTCCCTGTCCTGATCAGCTTTGTGCCTTTGCTTCCCCTGGGGCATCAGTGCTAGTGCTTTGAGTTGCCTGCCCCATGGTTACAGACCCAGTGCAGGCTTTGCCTGTGCCAGTCATGACACTGAAGTAACCAAGTTAGGGAGCTTGACTAGTAGAGGTTGGGCCCCAAGCTCTCATTCAGATAGAAACTCTGAGCCAGCACCAGGGAGGCCCTTTCCCAGCACTGAAGGGAAGGTCCTGAGGGTAAGAGATGTAGACCTATCTTAAGAGGACTCAGTTCAACTATCAAGTGGCAATTTGGGAGGCCTTGTGTGCTTTAAGGAAACTCTGGTGGTGCAATAGTGAGTTGTGCTGCTAGGTCAGCAGCCTCCAGTGGTTCAAACCCGCCAGCCACTTTGAGGGGAAAAGATGGGAAGTCCTTCTATTAATTTACAGCCTCCGAAACTCTGTAAAGTGGCCAGAGGGTCACTGTATGTTGGAACCGAATTGTTGGCATTCACTTGAATTGAGTGTATGCTAACCCAGGATTCTTCTGCTCAGAACTGTAGGAGAACTGCTTCTTTATCTCTTGAGCTTATTCTTGTTGCCAAGACTTCACCTCCGTGAGAAAATTGTGTTTCACTTGAGGACACCCCAGGGTTTTCTGTGAGGAAAGCTGACAACTCAGGCTTCCTTCAGGTTTGGTCAAGGAGATGGGGCCTTTGACAGAGGAGACAGAGAAAGGATACAGAATGGAAATGGAAACTGTTTCATGACTACCTACCGTGTATTGGGCACAGACATGCATATGCATGTCTTGCTTAATTTTTATAACATGCCCTAAATATGTAAATGAGTCCTATGGTGTGTTTTTTAAAATTAGACTTCAGGGTATTAAATACTTCAGGGTATTAAAATTAAACTTCTAAACTGAATCAGAACAGATGAGATGAGGAACTGTCTGAAAGGAATATATGATTAGGCGTTGTATGTATGACAACAATGTGGAATAAGAGGTGCATTGCAAAGTGGACTGGGGTAGGAAATGTACAACAATGAATGAATGAAAACCCAACCTTCCTGTAAACTTGTTTTTAAAAAATCACACACACACACACACACACACACACACACACACACACACACCACACACACATGCAAAACCCAATAAAAAGGGTCCTGGTGGCAGTGGACTAAGCATTGGACTGCTAACCAAAATGTCAGCTGTTCAAATCCATCAGCCTCTGCAGGAGAAAGATACAGCAAGCTGCTTCTGTAAATATATACAGCCTTGGGAACCTTAAACGGACAGTTCTACTCTGTCCTACAGGCCAATAAGAGCCCGAATTGATGTGATGGCAGTGGGTTCAGTCTTGGGAACTGATAAAAGGGGGCAGTGGTGGTGCAGTGGTAGAATTCTCACCTTCCATTTGGGAGAATCAGGTTTGATTCCAAGCTAAGACATCTTCCCCAGCCATCAGCTGTCTGACAGTGGAAACTGAGAGGTTTTAGAGGAGCTTCTAGACTAAGATGGACTAAGAAGGACTGATGGTCTACTTTTGAGAATGAGCCAGTGAAAATCCCGTGATCACAGTAGCCCGAACCTACCTTGCATGGGCTCTCCATAAATGGGGACTAACTGAGGACAGCCAGCAGCAAGCACATAAGATAATGGCATCAGCAGACTCTCTTGGTCTTTGTGCTTCTCAAGGCCACACTGACAGCACTCAAAGGTCAGCCAAGGGGCTCCACCCCAGGCAGCACCAGTGGACAAAGTTACCACCTTTGTTTGTGGCCAGGCAATTCCTGGGAACCTAGGGGATGGAGTGAAGACTTTGTTTCAATTGAAGGGATTTTTCCTCTTTCCATCAAGTCCAAATTGAATCTGTGCCCATAAAGCCCAAGGAATTTTGTGGTTAAGTTCTTGCTTCTTGCCTATATTGCAGTTGTGCTGCACAGAACCACCTATGACGTTACCTTGCTGGATGTTTTTCGCAGACAGATGTCTTTTCTCTCCATTGTTAGTTAGCACAACACTTGGAACAGTAGTAGCTGTTCAAGTATGTGCTCAATGAATGGTTATTAGCACACCATTACGTTCCCCTGCGTCTTTGTTAATTTTTCTTATTTAAGGAAACATTATTATAAACTTCTTGATTTCTCTTTCTTCATTCACATACATTGTGTTTCATACATTCCTCACATTGTGTGTCACATGATCATTCCCATATATTGTTTTATAAAATGAATTACCACTGATCTATGCCCACTATCGCCCCATATTTTCAGGTCCCCACTATATCTATTCTAATTCCTTCAGCTTCTCTCTCTCTGCCCACCAAATCTGTGACTCTGTAATTTCCCCTTCCCCATCCTCAGCCCTCCGCCCCTCTCCCCTTCCCCCTTTGGACTTATCACCACATCTTACTATTATCCTTCTATCTTTACAATAATGGTCTTATACAGTATTTGTCTTTATGAAGCTGAGTTATATCACTCAGCATAATGCTCTCCAGGCTCTCTCATGTTATATAGCACTTTATAAAATCATTACTTCTGAGTGCTGTATAGCATTTCATTGTGTGAATGTTACACAATTTCTCAATCCATTTGTTTGTTGAGGGACATTTGGGCTGTTACCGTGTTCTTGCTATTGTAAATAATGCTGCTATGAACATTGTTATCATTGATTACTGTCGAGTCGAGGTCGACTCAGTGGCTCTATGAACAAAAGACCTTATGCCTTTCCATAGCTATCCTTGTTTCTTCAAGTTCATAGAGTTTCCAGAGGCATGTGGTTTAGCAAGTGGATGCCACTCCTGCTTCCCAACCTATAGGTGTATAAAATACCTGTTTGTGTCTCAGTTCTGTTTTCCTTGGATATATTCCTAGCAGTGCAGTAGTTGAGTCATATGAGATTTTTATGTTCAGCTTTTTGGGGAAATGCCAAATTGCCTTCTAGAATGGTTGTACCATTTTACAATCCCACCAACAGAGTATGAGAGTTCTATCTCTCCACACCCTCTCCAACATTTATTACTTGCCACTGTTACTAGGGTGAGGTGGTATCTCATTGTGGTTTTGATTTGCATCTTTCTGATTGCCAGTGATTTTGAACATTTCTTCATGTGTCTATTGGCCATATGAATGTCTTCCTCTGTGAAAAGTCCTTCCACGTCTTTAGCCCATTTTGTGATTGGGTTGTCTGGTGGAGGCCCTGTAGTATTCTGTAAACTTTTGCTATGAGACCCATGTCTGAGGTGAAAAATACTTTTTTCCCCGTCAAGTAAAACCCTGCTTGATCCTACACCATCCCCAGAATCCTTGCTGTGTTTGAGGTCATTGTGGCAGGCACTGTGTTTGTCTACCTCTGTGAGAGTCTTCCTCTGTTTCACTGACCCTTTGCTTTGCTGAGCATGATGTCCTTCTCCGGGGCCTAGCTCCTCCTAATGACTTGTTGAAAGTATGTGAGACAAAATCTCACCATCCTCCCTTCCAAGCAGCACTTTGGCTGTACTTCTTTCCAGATGGATTTGTTGTTCTTCTGGCAGCCCATGGTATATTCGTTGTTCTTTGCCAACACCACAATTCAAAGACACCAATTCTTCTTTGGTCTTCCTTATTCATTGTCCAATTTTCACATCCACATGAGGCAATTGAAATCAATGCCAAGGCACATGAGGATTTTCAGAGAACCAGGAAGCAGAAGTTGAAGAGAGAAGGACCTTTCTCCAGTGCCAGCAGAGAGAGGAAGGGTGCCACTTCTGTCAGTTCAGGAGATGAGAAATCAGAACACCAACTCTAGGGAAAGGTTTGTACCCTCTGTCAGCTTGGAGGGAGGCTTCTTGTCTCCCTAGCTCCTGCTTTTTGCTTCCTTAAAAATCCCATATGTCTTGGCACTTATCTTACTTCATCTCTCATCTGCTCACTTGTTTTAGTACCGTTTCTATCTCCAGGAGATTGACTCAAGATACACCCTGCACTAATCCTGCCTCATTAATTTAACAAAGGCAACCTGTTCCCAAATTGGATTGTAATGACAGGTATAGAGCTTAGGATTTACAACACTTATTTTGGGGGGACATAATTCAGTGTGCGGTGGGAGAGATAGGTAGGCACCAGTAAGGAAAGACAACAGCTTAACAGAGAGGGAAAAATTGAAAGCTATGAGAAGAAGCACTGACATTCAAAAGCTTGGAAAGCTCAGTCATTTAATGCAAAGCAAACAACCCCATACAACTGTGAGGTCATAGCTGTGTTCCGGCAAAGTCCAGTAATTATTCAGAACGAGACTTCTGAGTCATCAGGAAAAGGTTATGTGATGGTACAAATGTTCTGTGACAAAGTATTCTGTCTTGAAAATACTTCAGTAGAAACTCTTAAGAGAGCTAAGTAGGCATGGTGATGCGGGCTGTTTGCTGATCTAAAGATTGGTGGTAGAAATCCACTCAGCAGCTCGGTGGAGGAAAGGCCTGTTGGCCCGCATCCCTGGGTGGCAGTTGTGTTCTGTGACTTGTGTGTTAGCCAAATGGAAAGCGGCCAACACAAAGCTGTGTTCAGTCCTCTGGGGGACAGGCATGCAGCGTGAGCTATTCCCACCTTGGTGGGGTGCACATAAGGTTGGTGCACTTCATGGTGTCCTGCCCTGAGCCCAGAAAAAGACTTGCTCATACCAGGTACCAGTCATCTACCAAACTACTGGGCAAGCACCAAGGCCAGGAACCCCACTGTTCTGGCCTCTGTGGGAAAATTGTTAAGACGTGGCCTCTGTCTTCCGGTCCAGTGAACTCTGAACTTCTTTGTTGCTGTTACGTACTGTTGAGTTGACTATAACTCATAGTGACCCTGTGAACAATAAATTAGAACCTTGCCCTCTCCTATCCTCACAATCTCTGACATGCTAGAGTCCATTGCTGCAGCCACTGTGTCGATCTGTTTCGTTGAGGGTCTTCCTCTCTTTCTCCAACTCTCCACCTTTCCCAGCGTGATGTCTTTTTCCAGGGACTGGTCCCTGCTGACAACATGGCCAATACATGTGAGACGAAGTTTCACCATCCTTGCCTCTAAGGAACAACCCAACTATATCTCTTCCAAAACAGATTTTGTTATTTTCTTTTTCTTTCTTATTTTAATTATACTAGTTGATCTACAAAATTAGAATACATTGTTTTACAGACTAGGTTCATCCAATTTCCCTCACACTCATCAAATTGTACACCCCTGTGATTAACGCGCCCCCCCCGACAGTTCAGTTCTCTTGTCCAACACCATAATTCAAAGACATCCATTCTTCTGCCGGTCTTATTCATTATCCAACTTTCAGATGCATAGGAAGCAGTTGAAAATCCCGTGGCTTGGATCAGTTATACCTTATTCTTTAAACAGACATTGCTGCATTTTAGTACTTTGGAGAGGCCATTGGCAGCATACTTTACTGAACTTCTTCTCGTGCTTCTTGACATCAAGTAGGAACTGACTTGTAACTGACCCTCCTACAGATTTTCAGAGTTTGCAAGTTGCACAAGAAGAGATTACTCATCCTTCTCCCTTGGAGTAGCTGGCGGATTCAAACCTCGTGCCTTTGGGGCTTTCTTTATAGGCATTTGTTACAAGAGCCACGAGTCTCTTAAAGCTGAAATAATTTGGGTAGCATTATGTATGGGGAAGATGAACTATGCCACAGGACTATGAACTGAGAGATGGGTACAGCTAAGGAGATGAAGAAAATGTCATGGTGAAAAGAGAGCTGTGAGCTGGACGCTGAAGCAGCATGGCGATGGGGGAGAGAAGACCCAGCTGGAGAGGCCTCCAGCAGAAGCGAAATGTTAGCAAGTTAGCAGGGCCAGTTCACAGCTCAGTAATGCCAACTTGAGTAGAAGACAGCTGTGTCCAGAGACTCCAGGAAATGAGGATGGAGGATTAGGAAGAAGCTGAATTACGGCGAATGTTGACTTTGGTTTGGCCCTAGTAAGCAGTAGGAAGGATACTGGGTAGGAGAGTGATGCGGTCGAGTCACAGGAAGAGTTATCAGTGTCTTGCAAGGCTGGGAAACGTGTCTGTGACACCCATGGTGTGACCGCCAAAGCCGGCCCTCCTCAGCTCTAGTCTCAACTCCTCAACCCGCCCACAGTCTCAGGTGAGCAGGAAAGACCAGACACCTAATCTTGGATTCCTCCGGTGGGGGCCTTCCTGGATGCTCCCTGCTCCTTCCTCTCCCACCCTGCTTGACCTTTTAGGGTCTGGGCAGACACCCTTCATGGGAGGAGGGTTGGCAGCTCTTTGAGAAAATGAGTCAATAACTGGGTGTGACCTCCTCTTGGTATGGTTTACCTCAGCTGTGCAGGGAACACTCCATCTTTTGCCCCAGGCTGTGCTTTTCTGATGTGGCTGTGGCTCTGGTCACCCACTCCTATCCCCTATAAACTCTTCCTCACCCCCCCACCCCCCCAACTTCTTATGTCCTTTCTCCACTGAGGATGTACAATGGGCCCTTCCAGAAGCCCAGAACCCACCCACTCCATGGTTCTGGTTCCTTTCTCTACTCTTGTGAAACTCCCCAGTTCTGTGGGCAGATGCCCTGGCAGCGCCAGCACAGAGCAAGTACCTACAGGCCGAGGGCCCTGATGCCCACTCCTGCCGTCAGCGCTCTGCAGGCCCGCCAGGAGGTCTGTTTGCCCGGCTGCTGTGCCAGGCATCCCTGCTCCCAGCCCCGCCTTCTCGGGCAGCTGTGCAGTACAGCGAGGCAGCAACCTCCCTAGGAGGCCCTAAAGCAACCTCAAGGTGGTAGATCTTCTCCAAGGTCGGACACCTGACCAGCATCTGGAAAATGTCCCACGTTAGGGCTGTGAGGCGTTAGAAATGGAGATTTCAAGAGCGTGCGAAAACTTCCCTTGGCAGAAATTTCAAGGTGCTATTTTTTCAGAGAATCCAACAGGCGAAGTCCAAGCTGGTCAGAACAGATCAGACGTCTGTGTCACTTGCCTAGAAGAGTGAAATTAGGGGTGACCAGGTAGAGGTGCTTTTCGGCATCTCCCTCCTCCCAAGGCTGAATTTCCACACAGCTCCCCTTTCACCCCATCTAATGTCTCACTCAGGATCATGGAATAGGGGGGAGGCAAGGAAAGAGAACTACTGTTTTATGAGCATCTGCTCTGTGCCCAGCATGCATTCAATTCTCAACCCCTTTGAGTTGATTTTAGAGATTATAGGGTCTGAACTTCTTATAATTAAGAGAGCAAATATTAGATGGGTTGCCAGGCTTGAGGGTTTTTTAACTTTTTCTTGTGATTTGAGTGCAATTTTAAAGAGTAAATTGCCCCTTCATCAATTCATACACATGAGGTTTCATAACACTGATTGCACTCCCTACATTAGAACAGCAGCCTTTCCGCTTCCTATATTTCCCACTTCCTTTTTTCCTTTGCTATCCGTTCTTGAAAGTCTAGATCCAGAACTGCACAGACTATTTTGTCTCTCACATCTTCATTTCCCCCCTCTCTCATGGGTCTGTCTTGTTGATACTGGAAACATCCTTTTTCTTCCACCCTGTGGGGCATGTGAACCCCTGTAGCAAGAAGGCCTGGGCTAGCAGGAAGGCCTGGGCTAGAACCCTCAATGTGAGGTGAACAGACCCTATGCTCCAGCGTCTTGGGCCTTTAGCAACTGCAGGAGGGGTTTGGGGGGAGAGAGAAGCAGAGAGCTCATCCCTCTGTCTCCCCTCCTGTGCCCACAGTCATCCTGACGGATGAGGAGGTGCAGCGGAAGCGGGAAATGATCCTGAAGCGGAAGGAGGAGGAGGCCTTGAAGGACAGCCTGCGGCCCAAGCTGTCCGAGGAGCAACAGCGCATCATCTCCATCCTGCTGGACGCACACCACAAGACCTACGACCCCACATATGCTGACTTCATTCAGTTCCGGGTGTGTCTGCTACTGACTGGAAAGACGAATGGCTGTGATACAGTGGTGGCATGGGGAGTGGGGAGAGAGTGAGGGTCCTCCTGTCACAGAAACAGGTGAAGAGTGAAGAAACTGCGGTCCATGGGGGAAGCCACCCTCCCCCAAAGCCTCCCCAGCTCCAGTTAACTCCTGTCATGCATAGGGTCAAGGCAGGAACGTGGCCCTGAAGTGTGACTGCCTCTGACACCGCATCTTTCCCTTCCAGCCTCCGATTCATGGGGACGACGATGGAGGAAGCCTTCTCTCAAGCTCCTCCTCACCGCTCACACCCAGCTTCTCCGGGGACTCTTCCTCCTCGGATCCCTACTCCACCTCTCCAGGTAAGGAGAACCCATGCCCACGGAGCCTAGTGGCCCCAGGACCTCCCTTGCCTGCACGGCCTTCCACTGCAGATGGAAGGAGGTGAAGGCCTAAATGTGAAGTGCACATAGTTCACCCAGGGTGTTGGCAGAACTGCTCTTCTTTTTTTTTTTTCCTAGTTTTTCATTTCCATTGAAATGAGAACTGCTCTTCTTTTATGGATGAATGTTAACTTGCCCACAATCTACAATCTGTGAAAAGGCTGGGTTTCCCATATCTAATCTCTTTTCTCCAATCCAGACTTCTGTCTGTGACTCCCTTCCCCTGGGTGACCAATTTCCTTTAAACAATGTTTTTGCCAAGTTTGGCATGCAAAGGAGGAATGTTGCAGCCCACTCACCACTCAGGCCCTGGGGACCCTATGCCCTGTAAGACCTGTCCCCTCCAGGTCACGAAGAGTCTGGAAGGTGTCATGCTTTGTTCATAGGGTCCTTGTCTGTCTTCATTTTCTGTGCTTCTCCCTGCCCCTGCCTAAGTACTCTCTTCCCCTACCTCATCTGAGCCCTTCTGCCCTCTCCTGGAGGCATGCAGCAGGGCTGGGATGGAGAAGCCCCCTCTTGTCCTGATTATATGGTACTGCTGCTCCTTGGAGGCAAGGATTTTGAAGCTATCTCACACACTTTAGGCGTGTTGCCAAGAGGGACCAATCCCTGGAGAAGAACAGCATTCTTGGGAGGGTGGAGGGACAGCGCAGGAGAGGAAGACCCCGAATGAGGTGAACTGACTCAGTGATTAAGTAATAGGGGTAGGTGTGTCACAGACAATGAAATTGGCTCAAGATAAAGCAGGGTTCAGAGCTGTTGTTCGCAAAGTCACGATGAGTTGCAAGCAACTCTACAGCACATAACAACAAACAACAAAAAAAAACTCAGCCTGGATACCCAGGTTGTTGCTGTTGTTATGATGTACTGCTGAGTCAGAACGAACTTGTAGCTGGCCTTCCAGCGGGTTTTCAGAGGCTGTAAATAACATGAAAAGATATCGTAGATTTTATTCTCTCAGAGTGGCTGATGGATTTGAATCGCCTGCCTGGGGGTTGGTAGCACATCTCCCTCCCCACTAGACCACCAGGAAGCCAGGAGAGGCTCTCATTGCCAAATGGATAGGGCCAGAAGTGGAAGACATGTGTGTCTGCCCATCCAGAAGTCTCAGGAGAGAAGTGTTGTTGTTGTTGTGTACCATTACGTCAGAACTGACACACAGCTGACCTTCCAGCAGGTTTTCAAAGGCAGTTAATCACACAGGTGAAGGTGGCCCATCCTTTCCTGCAGAGCAGCTGGCAGATTCAAAACAGCATGCCTTCAGGATTGTAGTGCAGATTTGGACCACTAGGCCATCAGAGCTCCCTCAGGAAAGAGGTGATCAGGGGCTAATTAGCACTAGCCATTGTGTGGGTTGACTGACCTTTGATTCCCTCCCTGTGGTAGGAATCCTGACCCTAAAATAATCCTCTCTACCCACCTTGCTGATTTTTCCATGTGATGACTTGCTTATTTTTATCAATTGAGTTAGTCTGTACAAATTATATTTTGGTCTACTCCTTGCTTTTCAAAAAATCATTCCCTATAATTTAGGAGTTACGACACTCTATATACTATCATAGGCTGGAAAGAGCTCTGGTTGAGTAAGTGCTTGGCTGCTAATTGAAAGGTTGGAGACTCAGACCCACTAGCTACTTCACAGGAGAGAATACCTGGGAATCTGCTCCCATAAAGATTTCAGCCCAGGAAATGTTACAAGGCAGTTCTACTTGGACCTATAGAGCTGCTGTGAGTTACAATTGACTCAATGGCACACAACAAGAACATCAAAAGTTAATTGATGTGAAGTGTTCCCACCCACCAATGAATGCTCAATAGAGGATATACACTGAAACTTCTGAGAGCTGGAATGTGACAGAACTGCTTTGTTTTCCCAGACTTGAAAGTTTTCCACCATTGACAGGGTGCAGTCTTAACATTTTCCTATAGTTGTCTATTAATATCTTGATATTTTCTTGAGGGAGCTCTGGTGGCTACACTGCAATCCCAAAGTTAAATCCATCAACTGCTTCTAGGGAGAAGGATGGGCAGTCTTCTCCCATGTGATTTACTGCTCCTGAAAACCTGCTGGAAAGTCAGCTCAGAGTTGATTCTGACTTGACAGCAAACAACAACATTATTTTCTATTACTGGACAATACTACTTGAATTTTTCTTTGCTGGCAAGTTTTCACCTTACATAAGTGAAGACTTTACTGTATTTAATTAAAAACTCAAGCACATTTTCATTTATAAAAAAAAAGTATTAGTTTGCTTACAAAGTTCATATACATTATGTTTCACACTATTCTTCATTCACATTGTTTCCTACAATCCTCCTCATGCATTACATTTTATAAAATTAATCATCATTGGATCTTGTCCATCATTACCATTTTTGCCCAAATCCTTCCCATTTCCTTCATCCCTTCCCTCCACCCATCAAACTGTGCAACCCTGTGGTTTCACCCCTACGCATCCTCTGCCCTCCCGCCTTGAATTCCCATATATGTTTTACTAGTTATCCTTCTATTTTTACAATAATAGTCTTCTGCAATATTTATCCTTATGAAACTATGCTAGCTCATTCAGCATAATGCTTTCCATCCTCTCCCAAGTTACACAGTATTTTTCAAAATATTTACTCCTGAGTGCTGTATAGTATTCCATTGTGTGAATATACCACAACTTCTCAATCCATTTGGTTGTGGTTGGATATTTGGGCTGTTTACATGTTCTTGTGATTGTAAATAATGCTGCTATGAACTTTGGTATGCAAATCTCCATTTGTGTCTCAGTTCTCATTTTCTTGGGGTATATTCCTAGGAGTGGAATAGCTGGGCCATATGGAGTTTCTATGTTCAACTGTTTGAGAAAATGCCAAACTGTCTTCCAGAGTGGTTGCATCATATTACAATCCTACCAACAGTGTATGAGAGTTCCCACCTCTCCATAGCCTCTCCAATATTTATTGCTTGCCACCCTACTAAACTTTGCCCCTCCTACTGGGGTGGTATGGAATCTCATTGTGGTTTTGATTTGCATTTCTTATCGCCAGTGACTTTGGGCATTTCTTCATGTGTCTGTTGGCCACCTAGAATGTCTTTCTCTGTGAAAAGTCTTTCCATGCTTTTTGCCTATTTTGTAATTGTGTTATCAGTCTTTTTCTTCTGGAGGCCCAGGAGGATTCTGTAAACTTTTGTTATGAGACCCTTGTCTGAGATGCTATTACTAAATGTTTGTTCCCAGTTGGTAGGCTTTCTTTTAACCCTGTTGGGAAAAGTTTTTGATGAGCACAGAGATCTTCAGACAGTTCCTTGCATCAATTTTATCCTTTCCAGATTGTCCATTTCTGGCTGTATTTGGTGTGGTTTTTTTTTTTAGGGTAAAATATAAACTTATTAGAAAGTTGCATCCCCAAAGGGATGAACTTCCCTCCTTAAAGGAAAGATAGAGGAGATAGGCCTGTATTTGGCTATCTTTTTATACCATAGGCTAGGCCTTCTAAGCTTGGTCTTAATTTGTCTCTTATGATTTCGGGAACTGAGTCAAGAACCCCAAAATTGACCCATCTATCTATAATCAACTGATATTCAGCAAATAAATAAAACCTATCAAATGGGGAAATGACAACCTCTTTAACAAATGGTGCTGGTAAAACTGGACATGAACCTGCAGAAAGCTGACACATGATCCACATTTCACATTGTTGTTGCTATGTGCCATTGAGCCACTTATGGTGGATCAGAGACCTGGAAATTTTCATTTTAACTTTTAAAAATTATTATACAAAATCTATTGAAGGAATTTTGAAATTAAAAACTAAATAAGCTTGCTGTGGCAGTGGTGGTGGTGGTGGTGGTGATGTGCTGTCAAGTCGCTGTGACTCATAGTGACCCTCTTACAACAGCTCTGAACCCTGCTCTCTCTGGAGCCAACCTTATCATCTCTGACACATCTACCACCACAAACCCTGTTACTGAGTCAATCCATCTCATCAAGGGTCTTCCTCTCTTGTGCTGTCCCTCTGCCTTCCCAAGCATGATTTCCCTCTCCAAGAACTGGTCCCTCCTTGCAACATGCCAGAAATATGTCAGACAAAGCTTCAGAATCTTTGCCTGCAAGAAGCAGCCTGGTTTCACCCTCTTCAGGATGAACCTGTTTGTTCTCCTAGCAGCTTGTAATATATGTGTGTGTGTGTGTGTGTGTGTGTGTGTGTGTCTACAAAGCTCTGGTGGCCTAGTGGGTAAGGAGTTATGCCACCAACCCAAAGGCATGAAGTTCAAATCCACCAGCTGCTGTTAGGAGGAAATATGGGCAGTCTCTTCTCAAGCATTTTATAGCCTCTGAAAACCCCCTGGAATGTCAGCGATGAGTTGGTTCCAATTTGAGAGCAATGAGATCTGTCTATATCACTATCTGGTAAAGTACTGTTGTTGTTAGGGGCTGTCCAGTTGACTACAACTCATAACTATGCTATAAACCACAGATCTGATCTTTCCCCTGTTATGCACTATCCTCACAATCTCTGTCATGCTCAAGCACGTTGTAGTAGCCACTGTGGCAATCCCATCTTGTTGAAGGCCTTCTCTTTCTCTGACCCTACACCTTTCCCAGCATTATGTTTCTCTCTAAGGATTGATTCCTCCTGAGAATTAGTCCAAAGAAAGTGAGAGGAAATGTCACCATCCTTACCTTTGAGGATCACTCTGGTTGCACTTTATTCAAGACAGATTTTTTTTGTTCTTTTGATAATCCATTCTATACTCTTTCACCAACACCACAATTCAAAGGCATTGATTCTTCTTTGGTTTTTCACTATCCACTGTCCAATTTCAGATGCAAAAGAAGCAATTGAAATTACCATGGCTAGGATCAGGTGTATCTTAGTCTTTAACATACTTCCTTGCTCATGAGAACTTTGGCATAGTCCAGATTTCTCCAGTACCAAATGTCTTTTGACTTCTTGATTGCTGCTACAAAGGATGTTGGTGGTGGATCCAAGTAAAAAGAAATTGTTGACAACTTCATTTTTTCTTCGTCCCTCACCTGTTGGTCCTGTGGTGAAGATTTTTGTTTTCTTGATGTTGAGATATAATCCATATTGGAGACTGTAGCCTTTGATCTTCTGCAGCATTTCAAGTCCTTTTCACTTTAGCAAAAAACTTGTGTCCTCTACATAACACAGAAACATGGAATGTGAGAAGGATGAGTCTATCAAAATTGGAAGTTATAAAAAATTAAATGAAGCACATGAAGATTGACATCCTAGGCATTAGTGAGCTAGGATGGACTGGTATTGGCTATTTTTAATCAATCACATCATCTACTATGCCTAAAACGACAAGCAGAAGAGGAAGGGGGTGTAACATTCATTATCAAAAAGAGCATGTCTAGAACCATCCAGAAGTACAGTGCTGTCTGTGAGTTTTAGGACACTATTAACACACATACAAGGAAGTTCTATTAATACAACTATTATTCAAATATACACATAAACTGCAAGAGCCAAGAAGGAAGAAATTAAGGATTTCTACTAAATTTTGCAGTCTTAAATTGATCAAGCATGCAATCAAGATGCATTAATAGTAACTGGTCAAGTATAGTGTTAAATGATGATAGTTATGGGAAGGCTTCAGGCCTTTTGTTCACAGGGTCACTATGAGTCTTGCTCGACTCAACGGCAGTCAACAACAACAGTGTAAGGTAAAGGAAGGCCCTAATGGGAGGGATGGGCGCAGTGGATGCAGCAGTGGGTTTATGCACCACAATCATTGTGTGAGGATGGCGCAAGATTGGGCAGGGCGTCATTCTGTTGTTCTGCACAGGGTCGCTATGAGTCAGAGCCCTCTCACCAGCGTTTAACAATCACAACAGCATCTCTGTTTACCTATATCATCTTTAATCTCCTGTGGTAGCTTAATCTGAAAGATAATCACTGTCAACACTTAGTGTCGTTCTTTCCCAAATTTAAATAATGAGAAAGAGAATCGTGCTTTCTACAGTCTGGTAACTTGCCTTTCCTCCTTAGCTGTGTCATAGTTCCATGACATTCGGTAGATGCCTGGAATTTCATTTTGAATGACTACTTGGTATCCTAGGAATAAACATCTCTGTATTTGTCATCATTGCATATTTCAGGGCTTTTCATATCTAGACTATTTATCTCATTTTTTCATGACTGTAGCAATCTGCTTATGGCTAAATATTTGCACTGATTCTGTGACACCCCCTCCCCCCCATGATGAGTTTATAAAAGTGGACATTCAAAGAGAAGGAATCATTTTAGGCTTTTGACTTGTATTGTCAAATACCTCTCTAGATTGCTAGCAGAAACTGACACCTTTGCCAGCATACCAGCACTGCAGAGACCAGCTTGTTTCCCTGCATCAGCACCAAACATTTTTATTTCTGATTCCAGAGGCTTGCTGGTGCAGTAGTAAGTGCGTAGCTGCTAAATGAAAGGTTGGCGCTTCAAAGCCACCAACCACTCTGAGAGAGAAAGTGGTGGCTGCCTTCATTCACAGAGTCCATCAGTGACAGCCCCATGCTCAGTCCTACTCTGTCCAGGAGAGAAAGGGACTAGTACTAGTTTTACAAGTGAAAAGTGAAGATGTTCTTTGCATTTTGTTTATTAGGATGAATATT